CCAGCTATTTTTCTTTTTCATAAGTTCTTTTAAACCTTTGTCAAGTTTCTGTTTTAGAAGCTTGCTTATTTCTTATTTGATACAAGCCCAATGACTATTATATGTCTTGTATTTTCCCATGATTAATAGTATCTTTTTCTAGATGAATTAGTTTTCATAATAGCTACTATTTATATTTTCCTTACAAAAGCATAATTGAATTAGTTTTCTGGTTTATACTAGAGGCCAATAATATGAAAATTTGGCTGTTATATTTGCTAAGTATAGAATTATCTCTCTCATAAGATACAAATAATAACTTTGAAGGAAATATGTCATCTAATGTTAAAAGAGGAAAACAATAATTAGAAAAATAGTGGTGAAATATTTTAAGATCTTAATAAAGAGATAGTCTTACAAAGCAAATGTTTATAAAACAAAAAACACTTAAAGCTATTGATGGATGTATAGATTATATGGTGCATTTTATACAGCTTTATAGGGGATAGACTTATAACTTATTGTTATGCACAACTAAGTAAATTTTGACATATCTAAACGTCTCAGAAATCGTCAACACCTTCATGAGAATGGGTATAATTGTCTCCGTGAGTAACCTTCTTCTTGGCTATTGAAGGTTCTTCCCTCTATCCCCTTCCACATCACTCCTACCTTGGGAAGCCACTGATCACTTTCTGAAAACACAGGTTCATTTCCATTTTCCTATAAATTGAAACATGTAGCTTACTAACATTTCTCTTTTGCTGTGGATTTTGCATTCGCCGTAATTATCCTGATAATTCATATCTTCCATAGGGGTTTCATGTAGTGGAAAGCATGTATGTACTGTTACTTTGCTCTTCATTCTTTATCTACCATAACTATTGTGAAATTAGTAATTGCACAAATCACTGGTTTCTTACTTTAATTTTTGCATAGTATGGCTTTCCATCTACCATGAATTCATTATCGTAGAGTTATTTGTACCTTGGTGTTACAAGTAAAGCTTCTCTGAACATTAACATGACACATAAATGAACGTTTGTGTATAAGACTATATGATTAATGAGCTTCATTTGGTAATAACATGTTTAATGTTTTCAGAATTTTTCAAACAGTTTCCCCAAGTAATTTTGTAATTTGGCTTTCTGGAAAAGGCTGTGAAATTCTTATTTATTTACACACACACACACACACACACCATAAATCAAAAGAAAGCATAGTTATTTTTTGCAGTTAAGCCATTTGGGCCTGGATATTTCTCCTTTGGGGGTGTTTAAGTATGTATTCAGTCTTTTTAAAAGTTATATGACCATTTAGATGTGATGTCATTCATTGAGCCACATTTTTAAATGTCCTCCACATCTATAACATGTCTTGTGATGCTGGGGACTCAATGCAGGACCTTGCACATGCTAGGTCTACACTCTGCCACTGAGTTACTTATACTTAGCCAGCCCCCATGCACTTTTTTTTTTTGCATTCCTGCCAGTCATCCGTGTTTCAACTCTATCATATCCTTCCCAGTGTGGTACTTTCTGTCAATTCATCATTTTGTGAAGTGTGAAGTAGGATCTTATTGTAGGTTTTCTTAGAATTTCCCTGTAATGTAATGATACTAAACCTGCACTTACATTTACCATAATTACACACTTTTAAACTTGATAAAGACTAATATATCATTCTTTGCTTATTAATCAGTTTTAGCTTCTCAATTTCTTCTTTAATAAATGTTTGTGTCTAAGTTATTTTTGTTCATGCTAAAGTCAGAAGGAATTTTAATAGATTTTTTTTCATTTAAGCCTGTATGTTTAGCCATAGAGACAGTTTGTGTAAGTTTTTATATATGGTATAAGATGTGGCTTAATATTGTGATTTTTACAATACATTATTATGACTTTTCTACTGTTTCATTATCATTGCTAATCTTTCTATACTAAATTGCCTTTCTGAAAAAAATCTAATCATCTGTATAAGTATTGGGACCTTATTTGAATTTTCTATATCAATTGATTCATCTTGACACTGATGCTAATGCCATGCTGTCTTGCTTATCATAGGTTTATATAATAAGGCTTGAAATCAGGTAATAGCAGACCCCCAACTCTATTTTTCTTCTAAGATACTATTTTGGTTAAGTCATTTGCATTTTCCTATAAATCTTGAATAAGCTTATTAGTCTCTATCAGAAATTTACTGGGGTTGCATTCAATCTGAAATATCTTAAAATTTTTGGTATCTGAGGAAACTGCTCTCTGGTATTTTCCATGGTTACGTCTTATTCCCTTGCCCTTTCCACCTCTAATAAAGGGCCCTGCTGTGCTCCAATTAGGCTCCCATTCATGCACTGCTGACTGGATAGTTCTCTGCCATTTGCAAGTGTGATAGTGATCAAAAGACTTGCCTCCTTTGTTTTTGTCATTTCTGAGAAACCACTAACTGTCATTGCTACTTTCTCAATGTCTCATAAACCATTAGTGCATGTGTTTCTTCTCTTTGATTTTGTCCTTTTTTTTCTTGTGCCAGACTGAAAGAAAATAAGAGCCTATTGCCATATCTTAGAAAGAAGTAGTTGAAATGGCGTTTTCTAGAAGGGCATTTGGCCTTTTGTGACTTATTTAGAAATGTACTTGAATTTTTGAGTCACCAGGTCAAGGCACTCTTATGGATCTCAGAGACTCAGTGATGAAAATAGTAGACTTGCTTTCATAAAGCTTAAAATCTAGTATAGCTATAATGGAAATCAATGTGGAGGTTTTTAGAGAGGAAGGAGGGAGGGAGGGAAGGAAGGAAGCAGGGAGGGAGGGAGGGAGGGAGAGAGGCGAGAAGCAGAGGAAGAAAAAGGAAGGAAGGAAGGAAGGAAGGAAGGAAGGAAGGAAGGAAGGAAGGAAAGAAGGGAACTGTCTTAGTTAGGGTTACTATTGCTGTAATGAAACACCATGACCAAAAGCAACTTGGGGAGGAAAGGATTATAACAGTTCTTCATCAAAAGAAATGAGGACAGGAACTCAAACAGGAGCTGATGCAGAGGCCATGGAGGGGGCTGCTTGCTGGCTTGCTCCTTATGTCATGCTCAACCTGCTTTGTAATAGAATACAGGGCCACCTGCCCAGGGATGTCACTGCCCACAATGGACTGGGCCCTCCTCCATCAATCACTATTTAAGAAAATGTTCCACAGGTTTGCCTGAACCCTCATTTATGGAGGCATCTTCTCAATTGAAGTTCCCTCCTCTCAGATGAGTATAGCTTGTGTCAAGTTGACATAAAACTAACAAACACAAAAACTAGCAATATACTACTATACGAATCAGCTGTACAATTCCTGAGCATTTGCCCAAAGTCTCTATCCACTACCACAGAGATACTTGTACATTCTCATTTATTGCTGTCCTCTACACAATGACAATGAAGTGGAACCAGCCTAGATGTCCAACAACAGATGAATGAACAAAGAAAATGTGATATACATACACAATGGATTGTGTTCAACCATAAAGAAAAAGAATAGATGCAAATAGACAACATCATATTGAGGCAACCCAGATTCAGAAAGAGAAACACTATGTATTCTCTCTCATATAGAGATCCTAGCAAGTTTTTAAAGATGTGCATTTATGTGGCAGTGACTTTGTGTAGATGCCAGGAAAATGGAAAGGGACTTGTGAGAGGAGATAATGGAGATTTCAAGGGAGAGGAGTAGGGAAGGTAATAGAACATGTGTGGTCTGTACATGGTAAGTGGAAACTGGGTGTGGAAATGTTTAGTCAGACTTTCACACAGATGATGGAGAGGAGTCCACAACAACAATAGTAATAATAATAATAGATGTAGTTAGAAGACAGGAAATAAACTAAGTGAAAATTTATGTTTGTTTAAGTGTAAGTATTTATGTTTAAAAGTGATAAATGCTAAAGACAATAAAAAATAAAAATTCAGGGAAGAAAGAAATAGGAAGTGTTGGGTAGAAGGAGGTATGTCAAAGTTTAGATACATTGAGTTGGAAAGCCTTTGTGAGAAGGGTGTATTTGATTGGAATCCTGCAAAACAGAGCAATCAAACTATACAGATAGTTGGAGGAAGAACTGAGCTCTCTGCATATAGTGAACAATCAGTACAAAGGGTCTGGTATGTATACGGTATAGTAAGGGATATTGGTTATTATTACAGTACTGGAGCAGAATCTCACAAATGTTCTAGCTAGCTATTTCAAGTCTCTGATAGGAGAAACAAAAGTATAACCTAGAATTATGTTGTTAAGTACTCACCCACTTACTGTTTTATTTTCTTTTACTTTCCGCCTTGAAATATATGTTGGCTTTTGATTGTACATGCAGTGTTTCTGTTAATTTTCCCACTGTTACACGGGCATTCCCCATGTTAACAATTCCAATCACAGCTATTCTTGTACTCTTCCAGCTCATCTTATAAATAATATCGAAGGTACTTTGGATTTTCTTCTGTTTTTCTAAATAATAAACATGTAGTATTATAAAATTTTATGTAGGAGAACAAAATAATATGGAGAAAACCAAGTTTTTTTTGTTTTTATTCCTCAGCATTGAGACTTACCTATCTATATCTGTAAGTGTCCTTTCAGAAGTATTGAGTACATATATGTCTATGTACATGAGTGTGTTTAGTAGTCCTTTACCCTCAACTACACCCATACAAAGCTTGACAACCCTGTTATGCAGTTGCTGTTATCCTTATATTCCTGTTGAGAGAGGATGCTGAGACTCGAAGGTCTTGTCTGAAGTCTCACTAGTAGGAAGTATAAAATCTAGGGTTTCTTTACTGTTTTTTTATCTGCACTTTTCCTCCACACTGAGGGGGCAATTCTATGCAGTCATCATTGTAGGAGATATCTGAACATTTGCTGGTAGTTAGAGGGAGCCGGAAATTTCTCTCAGTCCCATTAACCATTTTAATATTCACATGATCAACCAGTTACAGTGCTGGAATAAATCAGTGAGTAGCTTGCCTAATTGTCTCCGGGGTATCTTCCTTCCTTCTCTACAGATATATTTAGGTCCACCTGAGGACAGCCAAGTACCTCCAGTGCCTCCACCTCGGGTGACAGCAAGAAGGCACAAACCAATCACAATCTCAAAGCGTTTGCTGAGAGAAAAGACAGTGTTCTACACTTCTTCCCTGGATGAAAGTGAAGGTCGGTGGTTAGCTTTTCCATGACAATTACATACAAAGAGAATATTGAACTTATTCTTAGGTGTTACTCTAGTACACTGAAATATGTGAATAAGGTTCTTGCTAATGTTCTCCGAATGTAATTTAAATACGACTATCGTGGACTGAATAACTGCCATGTTCCAAGTAATTTGATAGAGGCCAAATGAATTTCAGCAACAAACCCCTACCCTCATGGAGCTTATAGGATAGAGAAAAATATGGATGTGTGAAAAAATAAAATCATCCAATGGAACGATTATTTGTGAAGAGATTGCACCTATCCTAAATGGGCCATAGGTCCCTGCCACTCCACTCAGAATACTTATATCAAGGTTACCTATAGCCTCCTCATGACCGAACTATGTACTCCACTGTTCTTATGAGTGGGTGAGCAACATATGACAGTGCTATTGTATACCATCACTCTAAGCTTTTGTGTGTAAATATCATTTAAATGCTGCAGATGACTCCCAGATTGTTTTGGAATATAGGCTTCATTCTACCTTTTATTGTTATCTCAAAATCTCTGTTAAACTGTACTCCACACAGACTCATTGACGTCTAAAATTCAAGATGACTAGAACATGATTTGTGTTTTATTTTTATGATGGTGCCTAGAATCTAGGACTTTATACAATGACAAGTGATCATTCTGTCACTAAGCTACACACCCCTTCCTCAGCCTAAAGCACAGTTCTTGGTTATCTGTTGCTTCTGACCCTACTTCTTTGGTGATCCCTCCCTTCTAAACAACTTTCAGCTCCAGTCACCTGAACACTAAGGTCAAGAACATTGGTCTTTTCCTGGTGGCTCTTTTCCTTTTTTATATTAGATCCATCAGCAATTGATTTTGGCTGTGGATGCACATCAAATGCTAAATCCTTAGTATCCCCTTGGACCACACACACTGAGGCTGTACCATCCCTTCCCAGCTGTCTGTGCTGGCTTGCTTGACTGCCTCTAATACATTCTCCAAAGCAGCCAGTAAATTGTCCATCCTTTCAAAAATGCAGAGCACATGACCTCATTCCCTCTGCTCCAAACTTTCAGTGACCTCTCTTCATGTTTCGAATAAAATTTGTTTTATGCTGTTTTCAGTGACCCCTGCTTATCTATCTGAACTTTCTTTGTGGATTTTCTGTCCCCTTCCCTCTTTCTCCTCTAGTTTCATGAGCCTTGGTATTCCTTATGGGTCTCCAGTTTACAAATGTCATCTCCATGTAGAGACCTTTTCTCAGCACCCAAGTTAAACAATTCTTCCTTCCTATCCCTTTACACTGCTTTGTTTTATTCATGTCACATGCTACTACTTGATGACATATTTAGTATCTACTTTTCCCCTAAGAATGTTAGATCTATTTTTATCACCAGGTCTGGGAACAATCCCTACTACACATTGTGTGTGTGTGTGTGTGTGTGTGTGTGTGTGTGTGTGTGTGTGTTTAGTACATGTCTATAATGTGAATGAATGAATGTATTAGGAATTTGAATAGAAAGAGATTATCTAGCTTATTTGATCACATCCATAGGGGAAGAAGAGAAAGTGAAAAATGGATGGGAACACTGAATGATTGGGATTTTTTGCCCCCAAATTAGATATTTTATGAAATAACTTCCTTTCTTTTTTGTAAAAGTGTAAGTATATTTTATTTAATCAGCCAACTGAATTTTTTGGACACTGGTAGCTATTTTTCCATTTTTAATTTACATTAGAAACAAACTTCTTTTACATGCCAATCCTAGTTCCCTCTCCCTTCCCTCCTCCCTGCCCCACAGTGAACCCTATCCCATCCCATTTCTGCTCCCCAGGGAGGTGAGGCCTTCCATGAAGGATCTTCAAAGTCTCTCATGTCATTTAGAGCAGGGCCTAGACTCTCCCCCATGTGTCCAGACTGATAGAGTTTCCCTCTATGTGGAGTGAGCTCTCAAGTCCATTCATGTACTAGGGATAAATACTGATCCACTACCAGAGGCCCCATAGATTAACCAGACCTCAAAACTGACATTTTCCTTCAGGGAGTCTAGATCAGTCCTATTCTGGCTTCCCAGCTATCAGACTGGGGTCCATGAGCTCCCCTTGTTCAGGTCAGCTGTTTTTGTCGGTTTCTCCAGCCTGGTCTTGACCCCTTTGCTCATAACTCTTTCCTCTCTGAAACTGGATTCCAGAGTTCAGCTCAGTGTTAAGCTGTGGGTGTCTGCTTCTGCTTCTGTCAGCTACTGGATGAAGGCTCTAGGATGGCATATAAGTCTCATTATCAAAGATGGGCATTTAAAGTAACTTGTCAACTATTGCTTAGATTATTAGTTAGGGTCAACCTTGTAGATCTCTGGATATTTCCCTAGTGCCAGATTTCTCTTTAAACCTATAATGGCTCCCTCTATTATGGTAGTGCCAGATTTCTCTTTTCTTGCTCTCCTCTATTCTTCCCCTGACTCAATCTTCCTGCTTTCTCCTGTCCTCTTCTCTCCTCCTCTCCTGCCCTTATCTTCTTCTAACTCACTCTCCCCTCCCTCCATTCTCCCAATTCCCTCAGGAGATCTTGTTCCTTTCCACTTCTCAGGGTACCATGTATGTCTGTCTTTCTCAGGACTCTCCTTGTTTCCTAGCTTCTCTGGTGGTATGGATTGCAGGGTGGTACTCTTTTGTCCTATGTCTAAAATCCATATATGAGTGAGTACATACCGTTTTTGTCTTTTTGTGACTGGGTTACCTCACTCAGGATGGTTTCTTCTAGTTCCATCCATTTGCCTGTGAATTTCAAGATTCCATTGTTCTTTTCTGCTGAGTACTACTCCAGTGTATAAATGTACCACAGTTTCTCAATCCATTCTTCAATTGTGGTGCATCTAGGTTGCTTCCATGTTCTGGCTATTACAAATAATGCTGCTATGAATATGTTTGAACAGATGTCCTTGTTGTATGAATGTGCATCTTTTGGGTGCCTAAGAGTGGGTGGGATTGCTGGATCTTGTGGTAGACTGAGTCCCATTTGCCTGAGCAACCACCATACTGATTTCCAAAGTGGCTGTATGAATTTGCACTTTCACCAGCAGGGAAGAAGTGTTCCCATTTCTCCAATCCTCTCCAGCATAAACTATCATTGGTGATTTGATTTTAGACCTTCTGACAGGAGTAAGATGGTATCTCCAGAGTTATTTTGATTTATGTTTCCCTGATGGTTAAGGAAGTTGAGCACTTTCTTAAGTTTCTCTCAGCCATTTTAGATTAGTCTATTGAGAATTCTCTATTTAGTTCTGTACCCCAATTTTTAATTGGATTATTTGGTGCTTTGGTGACTAGCTTCTTGAGTTCTTTGTACAGTTTGGAAATCAGCCCTCTATCGTATGTGGTGCTGGTGGAATATCTTTTCCTATTCTGTGGGATGCTGTTTTGTTTTGTTGACTGTGTCTTTTGCCTTAAAAAGCCTCTCAGTTTCAGGAGGTTCCATTTATTAATTGTTCATTCCAGTGTCTGTGCTACTGATGTTATGTTCAGGAAGAAGTCTCCTGTACCAGTTTGTTTGAGAGTACCACCTACACTCTATTCTAAGAGGTTCAGTGTGGCTGGATTTATGTTGAGGTCTTTGGTCCATTTTGACTTAAGTTTTGTGTATGGTGATAAATAGGAATGTATCTGCAGTCTTCTACATGCCAGCATCCAGTTATGCCAGCACCATTTATTGAAGATGCTTTGTTTTTGCTGTTGTATAACTTTAGCTTCTTTGTTAAAAATCCGGTGTTCGTAGGTGTGTGGATCCATATAAGGGTTTTTAATTAGATTCCATTGATCTAGTGTCTATTTTTGTGCCAATACCAAGCTGTTTTCAGGACTATAGCTGTATAATAGAGCTTGAAGTCAGGAGTTGTGCTGCCTCCGGATTTTCATTTATTGTACTGGGTTGTTTTGGCTATCATGGGTCTTTTGTTTTTCCATATAAAGTTGAGTATTGTTCTTTCAAGGTCTGTGAAAAATTGTTCTGGGATTTTGATAGGGATTGCATTGAATTTGTAGATTGCTTTTGGCAAGGTTTCTATTTTTATTACATTGATCCTACCTATACAAGAGCATGGGAGATCTTTCCATTTTCTGGTATCTTCTTCAATTTCTTTCTTTAAAGACTCAAAGTTCTTGCTATACAGGTATTTCACTTGTTTGGTTAGCATTACTCCAAGGTATTTTATGTTGTTTGTGGCAATTTTAAAGAGTGATGTTTCTCTGATTTCTTTCTCATCCCGTTTATTGTCTATATATAGTAGGGTTACTGATTTTTCTTTCAGATGATCTTGTATCCTGCCACTTTGCTGAAGGTGTTTTATCAGCTGTAGGAGTTCCCTGGTAGAGTTTTTCAGTTCACTTATATAAGCTATCATATCATCTGCAAACAGTGAAAGTTTGACTTCTTCTTTTCCAATTTGTATCCCCTTGATCTCCTTTTGTTGTCTTATTGTTCTAGCAAGAATTTCAAGTACAATATTAAAGAGATATGGAGAGAGTGAACAGCCTTTTATTGTTCCTGATTTTAGAGGAATCTCGTTAAGTTTCTTTCTGTCCATTTAGTTTGATGTTGGCTGTTGGTTTGCTGTATATTGCTTTTATCATGTTTAGGTATGTTCTTGTTATCCCAGATCTTTCCAAGACCATTTTCATGAAGGGGTGTTAGATTTTGTCAAAGGCTTTTTCAGTATCTAGTGAGATAATCATGTGATTTTTTTCTCAGCTTGTTTATATGGTGAATTACATTGATGGATTTTCGTATGTTGAACCATCCCTACATGCCTGGTATGAAGCCTGTTTGATGATGGTGGATGATTTTTCGGATGTGTTCTTGGATTCAGTTTGCCAGTGTTTTATTGAGTATTTTTGCATCAATGTCCATACGGGATTTTGGTCTGAAGTTTTCTTTCTTAGTTGTTTATTTGTGTGACTTGGGTATCAAGGTTATTGAAGCCTCATAAAAAGAGTTTGGCAATGACCCTTCT